CCTCTGGCATGTGATCATTTGCTAGACATTTAAAATATTAAATGATAACTAGGCTGTGAGGACTTCAGGAGAGGGGATATAGAAGTAATTGTTTTTTTTCTATTGAGAAGGTGCTTTTCAAGGGTAAGAAATGTCTTTAATTGCATTTTTTTCTGATTTAAAAGAAAATTAGTCTGCCAGAACTAACAGAGCAATCATGCTGGCTTGAAGGGTGGAGGACAGAACTTCCAGCTTCCATGACTGCTGGTAGAACTGGGTGATGTTTATCCAAGAGTGGGGTTCCAAGCGGTTACAAAACCTGCTGCTCCCTGCTGTGCCCCTTGTCGTGGTTTGACCCGGGAGGCAGCTGAACACCGCGCAGCCCTTCGCTCACTTCCCCCGTGGTGGGATGGAGGAGAGTCAGAAAACAGGTAAAACTCGTGGGTCGTGATAAAGACAGTTTCCTAGGACAGGAAAGGAAGATAATAATAATAATAATGATAAAAGGCTGTACCAAACAAGTGATGCACAGTGCAGTTGCTCACCGCCCGCTGCCCAGCCAGTCCCCGAGCGGCGCCCGCTGTCCCCCAGCCAGCTCCCCGCAGTTTATACGTTCAGCGTGACGTCGTATGGTATGGAATAGCCCTTTGCCCTGTTCGGGGGCGAGCGAGGGGCTCTGTGGGTGCTTGGCTGCTGGCCGGGGTCATCACAGCACGGTGCTTTTTGGAGCTCAGTGAGGGGGATGGAGATACAACGACAAATTCGATGGGAGCGTGCTAGCCTGAATTGGTTGCTGTTCAGCTGCTGCTTGGTCAGGCTTTGAAATGGTGGCTTTGAGCCTTTGCTGCCTGCTGTGGTGGTTTGCTCTGCCTGGGAAACGTAGGATAAAAGCAGTGCTGTGAGCCTGGTCTGGTGTTCGGGCTCTGCGATGCTGTCGTCGCCGTGCTCTGGGAACCATCCCGCGGAGACAAACAGCAGTGACACCTTCCTCCTCCGCTGGGACAGATCCTGCCAGCCCCGTTGCGGTGGCCCCTCGGTTTATTGAACGTCCTGACGTAACCCAAACAGTCGTAGTGGTGCGTACGGTGAGCCTGGGTTTGATTTGGACTGTTGTTTGTGAGCAGTAATAACAGTGCCCTCCTGCCACCGGTGCCCCACACACACTGCCAGCCTCATGGGACTCTGAATCCACCGATCCCGGTTCAGATTGTGGTGGGGCCTCCGGTAACCACCCAGCTGGGGGTGGCAGAGGGGAGTGTGCGCTGCAGCCCCCAGCTCCTGGGTGGCATTTCGTGTGGGAGAATTTGGGCAGGTGCCTGGAGCGATTTTCACCCCCGATGGCCTGGGAGATTTTGCCTGAGCAGACATGTAACCCTGCTGAGCTGACAGACCACCGAAGGAGGGGTGCTTTGTCCCTGCCAAAAAGAGACAGCGACTTCTAGTGCTGTGTGGGGACCTGGCCTGTGCTTACCAGGCCTCTGTTTAGCGTCCTCAGAGGAGCTGGAGGGACCCTGGATCTGAGGGAAACACAAATGGCAGAGGCTCGGTGCAGACATCTCCTGCTGACGGTGGGATATCTTCTCCAGGATGATCTGGTAGACCCCAGAGGCAAGTGGACCGCCTTGTCTGTTACCTGCGGGCTGTGCTGGAGGTGGTCTGCAGCGCCGCGGACAGCAAGCAGGTCTCCAGAGATCCGGATGAGGCCCAGTCTGCACGGGGGCGGAGGTTCGTGTTGAGCACGCCGGCGGCGTGCAGCAGCGCCTGGGTGATGGTGGGATGGCGGGACATCAAGTCTGTGGAACCCCAGGGGTGCAAAGAGAATCTCGGGCTCCTTGCTCCTGCGAGCTGGCGTCTCGGCTGTGAAGGGTGCCACGCAGAGCCAGCCTTTCCCAGCTCGGGGGAAAGGGACCCGCAGGCACACGCCTTGTGTCACCCACTGACTGCGACGAGGAAGCGGGGTGGGGTGCCGTCGTGGACCTGGATGCTGCCTGTGTGAGCTGGGGGGGAGCAGCAGGTGGAAAGGGTCCACCCAGGATTACTGCTCCGGGTGCTGTCGAGCCATTCCCCAGGTGCAGAAGGGCTGAGGATGCCGCTCCTCGTGATCTTGATGGAAGGACGTGTGGTCTGCTGGAGCAGGAGTCAGGTAATGAGTGCTCTGGTCAGGAGCAGGGGGCCCTGTCTCTGGCTGGGCAGAGGAGCGGGCCAGCGGGCTCGACTGGACGCCGTGGGTTCGATGGCCTGGCACGTGGGACCCACGGGAGCACAAGGCTCTGGTGGGCTCCTGTGGGCCATGTACAGCACAGCAGAGGAAATGCTTGAGAAGGGAAAGGAACAATCCAGACCCTTCCGAAGGCTGGCTTTGCTTGCAGAAGAAAACAGGACAAGGGACCTGCGAAAGGGATCCGGTTCCTGGGAAAGATGGACATCGTCACATCCCTGTGGATATGGTCAGTGACAGCCACGTCCCCGCCAGCTACCAAAAAAGAAACGGCGGCTTTCGTAGGCGTCGTGGGTTTCTGGAGAACGCGTGTTCTGGCTTGCAGTCAGTTTGTGAGTGCCCTCGTTGAGGAACTCAAAAGAAGAACTGTTTGTGGTGGGGGTCGGCGGGGGGGGC